CCTCAGATGGGAGGGGTTGGACTTCAGAGCTGAGACCAGAGAAGAACAGCTGATCTTTGACAAACTGCACTCTATCAACCTGAATAAAGAAGAAAAGACAAAGGGAAAAGTAGATGTTCTTGAATTTAGTGGGGTGTGCTGTGTACTCCGACAATTGACAAATTTAGAAAAAAATAGACCAGTTCAGATTAAAGTAGATCACATTCAATGAGTTATTTTTAAAAGGGATGAGATTAGATTAAATGCAGTAAATTCAGATAAAATCATATCAAATGAGATTACATTAGATTAGTCCAACAGTAGAAGTAGAATTATCTTCATTTTTAAACTAAGACAGTTGGAGATGGAGGTGAAATCGGATCAGATCAGATTAGTTCAGTTTAGTTCAGATCAGATTATATTCTGCTGGAAACACACTTGACTCAGCAGATTATAAACCAACAAACCAGTGGAGCAGTGGTGGAAAGTCTGTCATTAAATCAGAAAAAGAATCAATTTTTATTCATGTGAATCCAAAAACACTTTGATCCATTTGAGAGAAGACAGAGTGGAAACAATCAGAGTTTGGAACCAGAATTCATTCATTTATAATCAGTGGTTCATCTGAGTGTGAAGATGAATCAGCTTCACTTTGACATTTACAACAGTAACAGTCAGTGAACTCACCACAGAGACTCCAGTTCACAGAGTGGACTCTGAAGAAAACCACACAGAACCTCCACTCCTGAATCATGAAGGTTGTTGTAGCTCAGGTCCAGTTTCCTCAGATGGGAGGGGTTGGACTTCAGAGCTGAGACCAGAGAAGAACAGCTGATCTCTGACAAACTGCAGTTCCACAACCTGAATAAAGAAGAAAAGACAAAGAGAAAAGTAGATTTTCTTGAATTTAGTGGATTATTAAACATTTATTACAGATATTTATTATTAGATCAGCTATGATTTAATACAATTAAATTAGAGCAGATTATAATATTTAGCTCAGTTTAGATCAGATTAGACTAGATCAGAACATTGTAGATTAAATCAGATTAGAACAGTAGTTGGTGTACTGTCCTCACAGCTAGACAGTCAGCTAACAGCTTGAAGTGCTTCAAAAACCACCAGACTTGACCTTTCTGGTCTTTTATTGAAGTCTTCCTATTCTTTGTAAAACTGAAAATAGTTACAGAAAACCAAACACAAATTGTTTGGAGAAACACTAAACAAAACATTTCAATTATGAGCAGAATCCATATTCCAACTGAAATCCTCACAGATGAATGTTTTCCAATGCAAACGTGTCTAAACAATCTCCACAGTGTGAGTCAGTCACATCTTTGTGCTCAACCATACAAAGAGTGGAACAAACCATCAAAGGTGATGATATAGAGTGAGGAGCACTCTACATTTTTGTAGGCCCAAAGACCAGAGTGTTCACTTGAACTCAGATCCTCAACACTACAAAACAGAGGACTCACTCTGAGGCCTTTTCTTCAAGTCAATAAACATGTCCACTGAACTTTAGGTTTGAACATTTAAACCAGGGGTGTCAAACTCATTTTCACCGGGGGCCACATTAGCAATACAGTTCCATTTGAAGGGCCAGTTGTAAATGGAAGACTGTATAGATTAGGGGTCCCCAACCCCTGGTCCGTGGACCAGTACCAGGTCTGTACTAATGGGTGGTACTGGCTGACCAATCCTTGGAACAAAAAAGGTTAGGGACCGCTGGTATAGATGTAACTACTCCATAACAGACTAATACATGTTTCTGCAATTTATTATTATTATTATTATTTGATTGATTATAAAAACGTAATTTCTTAGGTAAAGAAACTCTGCTGCATGGACTTTACTAAATGCTTTTTAAGCTCCCGCGGGCCACACGAAATGGCTTGGCGGCCCGCATTTGGCCCCCGGGCCTTGAGTTTGACACGTATGGTTTAAACAATAAAGGCAACACAGTTGATGCAACACAGTCTTTATGAACTTGGCTGTTTCTGTGGATTAGATTAGATTAGATCAGATTAGAGTTCAGACATGAGTTGATCAGCTCAGATAAAATGATATTATATTCAGTTGGTTAGGACCTCTTCTATAGATTAGATCAGATTATTAGATTAGAGTAGTTATTAGATTGACTGAGGTTAGATTATTTAGATTAGTTAAAATTATATAAAATAAGGTTGGAATGGATTAAAGATATTATGTTATATCAGATTAGTCCAA